AGCTGGGCCCCGCGCCCTCGCCGGCCAAGTGCGCGCCAGCCTTCCCAGCCGCCCCCGCCTTCTATCCGCGCGCCTATGGCGACCCTGACCCTGCCAAGGATCTTCGAGCCGATAAGAAAGGTGAGGAGGAGCCGGGACCCTTCTTCTCCCTCCTGAGTCGCTCTTGTCCCCAAACCCCGCCGCGAAGAAACTTTGGCCTGGGTGGAGGAGACTGAGTCCCTGGGCGGCGGGCTGAGCGCAGGGGTCTCCGAGTGTGAGAAGCAACAGCGTCTGGAGGCCTCCGCGCCCCGAGTCCAATCGGAGGTTTAGAGAAAATGCTGGATTGAGATGATTAGACAAGGTATTTTCTTCGGCCTAACAAAGCCCCAGGCAGAAGCGAGCAGCCCTGCTCCTGGGTTTGTTGTGAAGTTGATCAGTTTGTGGCAGAACAGAGAGAGAGAGAGAGAGAGGGAGAGAGATTCTCCGTATCGGGGTTGTTTTAAAAATCTCTTTTGGATATAGGGGTCTTTCCGAGGATCTGAAGAAAACCGATAAACACATTAAAATGCGGCGCAGCAGACGCGCTTTGGCGCACAGCTGGAGGAGGGTCCAGGACCTTCCTTGGCCCAACCATAACCCGCGTTTCTGGGGCTTTTCCTCCTTTGTTCCAGGAGAGAGGAATCTTGGGAACAAGGGCCTTGATTTTTAAATTGGGATACTGCAGACTCCGGAATCCGATTTACTAGCTCTATTTCCCCAGCACAGTTTCCCCACCCGCCCAGGGCCGAGAAGTTCTCCCCTGGAAAAAGTTAGAAAATACCGCGGGGCTGAAGGTGCGGGGCAGCGGAGCAATGACCGGGGCCGCGGGCCGTCGCGGAGGAGGGGAGGCTGACCCGCTGGGGAGAGGGCGCCCTGGGGACACCTAGGCTCCCGCCGGGTCCGCGCCAGCCCGGGAGGCCCGGGGCGCCGGGCGAAGGGCCGCCCTGAGCCCGGAGAGAATCTTTCCGTGAGCCTAGGAAGGTTTGCCTGAGAGCAGAGGGAAGGCGCGGCAACAGATGCTGGGGGGCCCTGCGGGCTGCGGCTTAGCCACCGATTCGAATCCAACTCGAGCGCGCGAGCAGGACGGGCTCTGAGGCCGCCGGCCCGCCCGAGGCTTCCCCGCGCTGCACAAACCGGCGGGGGAGCCTTAGATTACCAAACCTTAGATCACCAAACCTTAGACCGCCAAACCTTAGACCGCCAAACCGTAGACCGCCAAACCGTAGACCGCCAAACCTTGGATCGCCAAACCTTAGATACCAAACCTTAGGTCACCAAACCTTAGGCCACCAAACCTTAGATCACCAAACCGACGCCTCTTGGCCTTGCTTCTGTGGTCCCGTAATTTTGAGATAATGTGACCGACCCTGGGTGAGGCCTCGGTCTTCCTTCATGTAACCAAAGTAGCCCTAATCTAATTCACCCAGCGCGGCGTCTGCCTTTATTTTCTTTGCAGCCTGAACTCTTAAGTCACTGTCCATCTCCCGCACCCGAGTGTGAACTACCCGAGCGCAGGGACCGCTCTTGTTTTGTTCGTCAGTGCCCAGAGCCACGCCTGGCACATAGTAGGCGTTCAAACAAGTGCCGGCTGCCGGTCGA